GGAGGTGTGCAATAAAATGGTTTAATGCAGAGTTAGTTGTACTATTAATTGTACTAGCAATTTTAATTCTTTCATTGGCAAAAAGAAGTAAATCTATCAGAGTAAAAATATTAAACTCATCGAAAATATGTACTGAAGTAAAAGTGGAAGTACAATAAAGCGTGTTAACAAATTTTAAATGTTTAATGAAGGAATTATAATGCTTTGACTTATTGTTTAATATCATTTACAAGCACAGTGGCAGCTGTATGGGCTATTTCTGTCCGTTCGCATCCCGTCCCTTTGCGCCCCCTGGCGGCTCATTCACAAACTGCGGTCATACACTAAAAACAGAGCGGCACCTATTTCAAACGGCGGCGGTACATGCTGCGGCGTTAATAGCCACTTTGAACTCTCACCTACTGTAGGAGAAAAAAACAATTCAGTACAGATACAGCCTTTTAGTACTTAAGTACAGTAGTGAAGTAGTTCTATTTCATTACTGTACATCTCTGTTGAAAAAGTTACCTGCAGGATCATCAAAAAAGAGCCAGCTTCAACTAGACATTGTTAAGATAATATGAAAAAAATGTTACGTTACTACTTCCATAATAAGTGCATTTTAATTATTAAATAACAAAGAAATATAGAAAAACATGCATTGACCATGCATTTTAAATCATCGCTCTAATGTCACAGTTCACCTAAACATGATTCTAACAAACAAAAATCACTCCTTTTTATTGCAAAATCTGTAGTTTCAAAAATGTAAGCTCAAGCTCCTATACAGCCCCTTGGGCCCATCAGCATTCTTAGAGCCACTGTCATAATGCTAGCTGAGGTAGATTAAAATTTAAAGCTATTTTTGGCCAACAGTGTGCCAGATGTGGGCACAGTATATCACTAAATATCTTAATATGGCACATCAGTGTTTCAAGCTATGCCCTCAGCTTTACACAATGACAGATATGTAAACGTGCACCGTCATTCAAAAAGGTTGTTTGGGCATAAACTGTATTTTTCAATTAACATCAAGGTCTTCTAAAGGAAGCAAAAGGTCTGTTTTCCTGTGTGAAGGTGCAGGATTGTAGAAGCCAGAGTCATAGGCTCATGTTAAGGGCATATTACAAGAGACTGACTCTGTCATATCCAAAAGGCCAGGGAAACAGCACAGAGCCAAATAAGATTTAGCACATAAAAATGCAAAGCTGTCTGTTTCTAAATAGGCCATCTTTAAACATAAAAGAAAAATGTTGTAGACATTGTGACCCCATGGGATGAAGGACTGCATAATAAAGGAACAAAAATGAATGTAAAACTACATAGTAAAAACAAAACTAAAAATTCTACAAAAACAATTTGTCCCCTCCAAATGCAATACATTTATAAGCAACTAACTTACAGAAATACTGCAGATAACAGGAAGAAACGTCTACATGCTAGTGCATACTTTCTCGTTCAATAATGAGGACACTGCTGTAGAAAACACTTCATCTGAGCCAATTAAATTATAGTTAAGTTTGCCTTTCTGCAGCTGTTTCTACCCTGCACACATTAGCTGGAAATTTACTGATTACAAAGACAGGGTGTGAATGTATTTGCACAGATCCCCAATTTTAGCAAACATCAGATCACATGTGATTGTTGATTAGCATGCAAAGAAGACAAAGTGAGATGCGTGCTGATTGTCAAAACAGAGCTCCTGCAATTTGCCAGAAAAATGCCAGCGGTGTACGTCAGGGCGATATGGCAAAAATGCAATCTCGCTAATTATTTTCCATATTGACTGATAATGACATATATTTCGAAATACGTTGTTAATGCTTCCAGATTTAAAAGAGTACCCCAACAATGACTGAAGCCACAAAAATTAGAGGGTTCATTAAATGGTATAACATATTTTCGGCCGATAAATTTTCAGTGGCCGAAAATTTGATACATCTTGAGTGTATCGAATTTGATACATCTCGAAAAATCGATACATCTCAAATCTCTACATCTCCGTCTCTGAAAATCGGATATCAACACATTTTTAGATTCCCATTGTTGTACATTTCTGCTGTGTAATTGGCTCTTAGATCAATATAGAGTAAAAAAAAGTCCATTATTATAGTTATTGACATAAATTTTATCGCTATTCAATATAATATTTTTTACCAGCCCAGTCCTACAATGGTGAATATTTTACCAGGTAATCTGCTATCCTGACACAGTCAGATGTTTCCTCATCAATTCAAAAACTATCTGTATAAACTTTATTTTAACAATCCAAACACAAAATACTAAATAACTTAAAGACATAATTCATCCAAAAATGAAAATAATTTTAGTTTCAAACCTGTTTGAGACCACAAAGAAAGAAAAACAAAAGTAATCATTGACTTAGGGCGCACTCACACTATGCTGTCCGAACTGTGCCCAGGCCCGTTTCCCAGATCGTTTGAGAAGTGTGAGTGCTCTAAATCGGCCTCAGGGACGGTTCAGTTAGCCGGCCCTGGCCCGTTTGGAAGAGGTGTGCCAGAGCACAATTTACTTGGGCTTAGGCGTGGTACGCTTGTAGTGTGAGTGCAAAGCGCACCTAAGCCCGAAACTGAAGATGAGACGTGACTTTAAAGTGACTGTTTTATATGGATTTATTAATCAAACTTACTGTTCAATGAACACAAACTGTTGTATATTATTAAAGACGCAACCCCCTCGCTGCACAAACAGCTGCTCCTAATTCCTGCAGCACGAGGACTTTATGATTGTTTATGAGTGTCAAAAGTGGCTGATGTATTCTGCGAAATATTTGACTGCGTGTCACTGCATCCCAAACGACTAAAATGTTATAACTAAAGCAATGTCTACTGAGCAAGAGCGATTCTTACTGAACAGCGCATCATCGATGACGTAAGTGTGCTCAGGCAATGTGAGTATGGGCTGTCGGGGGAGTCGGGAGAGGAGACATTGTGCTTTGGTCCGGTTCAAGGCAACTTTACATAGTGTGAGCACGCCCTTACATAGTATTTGCTTTTCCTACTATGGATGTCAATGGTTACAGGTTTATAGCTTTCTTTAAAGTAATATATTTTGTGTTTAACTGCATAAAGAAACTCATAAAGGTTTGAAACCACTTAAAGGTGAGTACAAAGTGATTACAGTTTTTTTTGGATGAACTAACCCTTTTAAATATATGAGAATATGGAAAAGTATTATTAAAAGTGGAGTTGTTTCAGTGGTATACTGTATGATTTGCAGTGTGCCACTGACAGAGAACAGCTGCAGTTTGACATTGAACAAACAAGCATTACAGAATGTTTATCGCATGTCTTGTTCTCATGCCATTTTCTTCAGTGCACTGTAATCCATAAATCAAAGCATTTTATCTGCAATCACAGCTCGGATGAATACGCTCAAAGCAGCTTGTAAGGGTCACAAGCACAGGAAGTCACATTAGCATAAATGATGGACGGTTGACATGCTGTACTTGTGGCCATGCCCACACTGCAGATGGCGAGGAAGCTTTAGAGCATCAGTCCGCTCGCACAAAGTAGACATTTAACTACTTAACCAACCCCCAAGCTCAAAATCCCTTCCATTTATTGGAATATCATGAGGAACACCAACCCCACCTCGTATTCCTAGCTGCTGCAGATCCTATCAAATAATGCTGTTGCACAACCTTCAATCACTTTAACAGAGTGTGCTGCAAGCTGTGGCTCTCTACAATCAGCCTGTTACGTAATCACACATTTTGTCCAAACACAGGGATGCTTCCCCTGGAGTCAGCACGTTTCAGCATTAGCGTGAAGCTACGCTCTCACACACCACTCATGCAGATTACCGCCTCTGCTCTCCAAGCTTAGTGTTTACTCTGGGCCTGGCCAACTCACCAAATAAAATGTGTTCACATTTGCAATGCAGAATGAATGTATAATTATAAAACACATTTGAAGTCTTGTTTCACACACAAACAGCCATTTTAAGTAATCATAGAAACACTGCCCTGCTGAAAAAAATAGCTTAAACCAGCCTAGGCTGGTTCGCTAGTTTTAGCTGGTAGACCTGCCTGGTTTTAGAAGGGTTTTAGCCATTTCCAGCCTGGTCTTAGTTGGTCAAGCTGAAAAATGACAATCAAATCCAGCTAAAACCAGCTTGGCCAGCCTGGTTTAAGCTGGATATAGCTGGTTTTGGCTGGACTCCCTGCTTGGCTAGGCTGGTCAAGCTGGTTTAAGCTGGTCATCTCCCAGCCTGACAAGCTAAGAACAGGCTGGAAATGGCTGGAAACCAGCCTAGAAGTGGCCAAAACCCCCTTTAAAACCAGGCTGGTCGATCAGCTAAAACCAGCCAACCAGCCTAGGCTGGTTTAAGCTGGATTTTTCATCAGGGTGCTGCTCGTTTACATTTACCATGCTTTAAATTCCCAAATCTTTAACTTTTATTAGCGGATTTAAATCACCACTGGGACAATAGTGCCTATTTTAATTTAGAAGTCTTTGGGTTCACAAGTTATTTAATCTCTTAGCAGGGCTTTGTTGACTCAGTCTAAACTGATGCTATTGGTCAAACCTGAAAGAATGCCAATTACTCATTGGTCCCTGCAGAGCGCTAATGTATTTATTGGCTCCTATGCTGCATTCGCAGCTCTTGTGTAGCTCCAGTAAAATTACAAGGATTTGGATAGAGCCTTCTGAAGAATGAGCAAGCATAACAGAGGTTATAAACAGCACATTGGAAAATCCACTAGCCCAGATTTTTTTTCATTCAACTGTCAAGCAACCAAGAACATGGGCGGATTAACCATCAATACAAAAGAGCTAAGACTAGAGAAAGACATCAGTCAAAAGAGGGTATTCTCTAGACACCATCGAACAGACTAGCAGATTTAGGGGATTGAGAACTCCCAAAGAGAGTCTAAAGTAGTTCAATGAGAGAATCAAAGCAATCAAATTAAAACCTTAAAATTCTTCTCTTACCTAAAGACACATATTCAGCGAAATTAAGAAACAGATATTAAACATAAATTGTCAAGTACTCACCTCTGCAAGATGAGGCATAGGGTTAAATCCACAGAGTTGGCATACCACGCTTTTACATTCGGTGCAGGTATTGTAATTAGGAGGGTCCTTCGAGTCCATGTTTAGAGCAATTTTACAGAGCGGACAAGTGGATGGTTGAGGTAAACTTTCAGGATGTGTCAGTAATATATCCCTTCCAGATTCAGGTGTATCCTTTTCTGATGTAGGTATGCTTGATAATTTGTCCACACTGACTTGCTCTGGTTTCTTTTCAACCTGCTGTATTACCTCTTTTGCAGGAGGATTGTTGTCGGTTTCTGTTGTAACAGATCCTTTGCGAGGTGTCAGTGGTGTAGTCCTGGCAGAAGCCACTGAGCCTTTGCGGGAGGCTGGTGCTGTGGTAGCTTTACCAGAGTCAGTAGAAACTGTGGAACCTTTTCTTGAAGTTGGTGGTGTTGTGGGCGGCTCATCTTGAACAGCTGAAGAGATCAGATTAGATGCTGAGCTAAATAATGAAGATCCAAAGCCCAGAACTTTCCCAGAGACAGCAGAAACAGACTGTGGTGAGGGTGATCGGGATCGCGCTGTTTCTGTCAGGCCACCGAAGAACCTTCCTGTGGTTGATTCAGTTGGTTTTGGGGAAGGAGGCTGTGCTTTAGGACCACCTAACCCAAAACCAAAGAAACCCGACTCCTGTTTTGGGGGTTCAGTCTTGGTAGGTGGAGCAGATTTTACAGGAGTAATTGTATCCTTGGGTGGTTGTTGTTGTGTTTTCTCGGGTTCTGGTTTAGTATTGTCTTGCTCAGGTAGATCTTTTCTAGAGGTGATCTTATCAGTTGGCTTGGCATCACTGCTGGTCTTTTGAACTGAAATGTCTTTCTTTATTTCCTGAGCAGGTCCAGCCTTCTTTTCAGTGGGAGCTGCAGTTGGATTCTCATCAAGTTTGGACTTAACTGGAGCTGGAGCTACCTTGTCAGCTTTGGATGTAGTTTGATTGTCCTTTACTAAAGGAACTGTTTGAGGTTTTACTGTAGGACTTTTTATTCCTCCTTGTGCCCGTTGTACCTGGCAATTCAGGCAGAGCCATTCATCAACCTGCAAAAAATATGTAATAAGACATTACATCCTTAACTATTTCTTAAAATTATATCTAAAAACCTTCTAAATACAAAAAAACAGGTCTTTAAGCATAAGTTATTAAGATAATAATAAAAGACAGTTTGTATCATTAACCTTAATCTTGTTTTACCCTTTACTTTTCAGTGAGTGATTTGGTTATCAGTGAGTGAAAAGTATAGAACTGGAAAAATCCTGCAAGGGTCAAACAATCTATTTGTATACTAGATAAGTACACAAAAATGCAGCAAGACACACCACTAAAGAATATGTCCTGGAAATTCGAATGGCTAGCCACATTGACAGCATGAATACAAATGTGCCTTCTTAATTATTGCTTTTTAAAAACAATAAGCAAATAGAGGACAAAAAGTCAAAGATGTGCTGTGCTAGACAGAATTTAAAGACAAGCCTAAAACTATAAGTGAAAAGTGTAAAATGATGGGAGGTTAACAAATGCATTGTTGGACATTATGTTTGAGACTTGGTTCAGGGCTTAAAATGCAAATAAAGAACAAAACAAACAATAATTATCCACTTCTAATGGTAACAATTAAGTTGAATAAATATTAATAATGTTTAAAAAAGTAATCGGCAAATGTCTTACGTCTGTTTGATGAGGCATTGGGTTAAATCCACACTGACTGCACACTGTCATCTTGCATTCAGTGCATGTGTTAAAATTTTTGACATCCTTAGAATCAATGTTAAGCTCCACTTTACATAATGGACAGTTGGTTTTGACTTCTTTGGGAGCAGGTTTTTGAAGTGGTTTGGGTGATGTAACTTGTTTGATATCTGTTTTTTTCTCTACATCTTGTGCTGCTTGTGTTTTAGTGTCTTCAGTAGGTTGAACTTTACTAGAGTCTGGTGCCACTGCAGATCCTTTCCGAGATGTGGGAGGTGTTGCCTTAGTAGATGTCTGGGAAACTGTCGATCCCTTTCGAGAAGTTGGTGGTGTTTTGGAGGACTCGTCCTGAACAGCTGAGCTTATCAAATTAGATGCCGAGCTAAATATAGAGGATCCTAGGCCCAGAACTTTGCCAGAGACGGCAGAAACAGACTGTGGTGATGGTGATCTGGATCTCGCCGTTTCTGTCAGGCCGCCAAAGCCACTAAAGAACCTCCCTGTGGCTGAATCCATTGGTTTTGGGGAAGGAGGCTGTGCTTTAGGACCACCTAACCCAAAACCAAAGAAACCTGACTCCTGTTTTGGGGGTTCAGTTTTGGTAGGTGGAGTAGATTTTACAGGAGTAATTGTATCCTTGGGTGGTTGTTGTTGTTGTTGTTGTGTTTTCTCGGGTTCTGGTTTAGTATTGTCCGGCTTAGGAAGATCTTTGCTTGAGGTGATCATATCAGCTGACTTTGCATCACTGCTAGTCTTTTGAACTGAAATGTCTTTCTTTATTTCCTGATCAGGTGCAGCCATCTTTTCAGTGGGAGCTGCAGTTGAATCCTCATCAAGTTTGGACTCAACTGGAGCTGGAGCTACCTTGTCAGCTTTGGATGTACTTTGGTTGTCCTTCACTAAAGGAACTGTTTGAGGCTTTACTGGAGGACTTTTTATTCCTCCCTGTGCCCGTTGTACCTGGCAATTCAGGCAGAGCCATTCATCAACCTGCAAAAATTATATAAGACATTATATCCCCAACTATAATGTCTTAAAATTCTATCTAAAGACCTTCTAAATACAAAAGGATTTCTTTAAGCACATGTTGTCAAGAAAAAAAATAATTGACCTCTTCAGTTTGTATCATTAACCTTAACTGTGTTTTATCTTTTACTTATCAGTGAGCGATTTACTTATCTGTGAATGAAAATATGGAAATGGAAAAATCCAGCAAGTGTCAAACTATTTATTTGTATACTAGATATTTACACACACAAAAATGCAGCAAAACACATCACTACAAAACATGTCCTAAAATTCCAATGACTTGCCACACTGACAGCATGCATACAAATGAGCTTTCTTAATTACTGTTTTTTTAAAAACAAAAGCAAATAGGGGACAAAAAGTCAAAGAGAAGCTGTGCTAGACAGATTTTAAAGAGAGAACTAAAACTATAAGCGAAAATAGTAACAAAAAAAAGGGAGATTAATAAATGCATGTATGAACATTGTTTGTGACTTGGTTTAGTGCTTAAAATACAAATAAAGAGCAAAACGTACAATAAATATCAACTTCTAGTTATAAAAATTATGGTAAATATATATTAATCATGTTTAAAAAAAGTAATAGGCAAATGTCCTACCTCTGTTTGATGAGGCATTGGGTTAAATCCACACTGACTACACACTGTCATCTTGCATTCAGTGCATGTGTTAAAATTTTTGGCATCCTTAGAATCAATGTTAAGCTCCACTTTACATAATGGACAGTTGGTTTTGACTTCTTTAGGTGCTGGTCTATGAAGCGGTTTGGGTGATGTAACTTGTTTGATGTCTGTTTTCTTCTCTACATCTTGTACTGCTTGTGATTTATTGTCTCCAACAGGTGAAACTTTACTAGAGTCTAGTGCCACTGCAGATCCTTTCCGAGATGTGGGAGGTGTTGCCTTGGTAGATGTCTGGGAAACTGTCGATCCCTTTCGAGAAGTTGGTGGTGTTTTGGAGGACTCATCCTGAACAGCTGAGTTTATCAAATTAGATGCTGAGCTAAATATAGAGGATCCTAGGCCCAGAACTTTCCCAGAGACAGCAGAAACAGACTGTGGTGATGGTGATCGAGATCTTGCTGTTTCTGTCAGGCCACCAAAGCCACTGAAAAACCTTCCTGTGGCTGAATCCGTTGGTTTTGGGGAAGGAGGCTGTGCTTTACTGCCACCTAACCCAAAACCAAAGAAACTTGACTCCTGTTTTGGGGGTTCAGTCTTGGTAGGTGGAGCAGATTTGACAGGAATAATTGTGTCCTTGGTTGGTTGTTGTTGTGTTTTCTCAGGTTCCGTTTTAGTTTTGTCCTGCTTAGGAAGATCTTTGCTAGAGGTGATCTTATCAGTTGGCTTGGCATCACTGCTGGTCTTTTGAACTGAAATGTCTTTCTTTATTTCCTGAGTAGGTACTACTTTCTTTTCAATGGGAGCTGCGGTTGGATTCTCGTCAGGTTTGGACTCAACTGGAGCTACCTTGTCAACTTTGGATGTGGTTTGGTTGTCCTTCACTAATGGAACTGTTTGAGAATTTACTGGAGGACTTTTTATTCCTCCCTGTGCCCGTTGTACCTGGCAATTCAGACAGAGCCATTCATCAACCTGAAAAATATATATATATAAGAAGAAATTATATCCTCAACCATGTCTTAAAATTCTATCGAAAAACATTCTAAATACAAAAACAGCTCTTTAAGCATAAGTTATCAAGATAATAAAAAAGACAGTTTGTATCATTAACCTTATTCATGTTTTACCTTCTACTTATCAGTGAGTGAAAAGTATGGAAATGGAAAAATTCAGCAAGGGTCAAACAATCTATTTGTATACTAGATAATTACACAAAAACTCAGCAAGACACACCACTAAAAATATGTTGTGGGAATTCCAATGGCTTGCCAAATTGACAGAATGATTACAAATTACCTTTCTTAATTACCGCTTTTTAAAAACAAAAAAAGCAAATAGGGGACAAAGAGTCAAAGATGTGCTGTGCTAGATAGAATTTAAAGACTAAAAGAGTAAGGGAAAATTGTAAAAAATAATGGGAGATTGATAAATGCATAATTGAACATTTTGTTTTTGACTTGGTTAAGTACTTAAAATACAAATAAAGAACATAACACACTGTAAATATCCACTTCTAATAGTAACAATTAAGGTAGGTTTAAAAAATGTAATAGGCAAATGTCTTACCTCTGTTTGATGAGGCATTGGGTTAAATCCACACTGACTGCACACTGTCATCTTGCATTCAGTGCATGTGTTAAAATTCTTGGCATCTTTAGAATCAATGTTAAGCTCCACTTTACATAACGGACAGTTGGTTTTGACTTCTTTAGGAGCAAGTTTTTGAAGTGGTATGGGTGATGTAACTTGTTTGATGTCTGTTTTCTTCTCTACATCTTGTGCTGCTTGTGTTTTAGTGTCTTCAGGAGGTGAAACTTTACTAGAATCTGGTGCCACTGCAGATCCTTTCCGAGATGTGGGAGGTGTTGCCTTGGTAGATGTCTGGGAAACTGTCGATCCCTTTCGAGAAGTTGGTGGTGTTTTGGAGGACTCGTCCTGAACAGCTGAGCTTATCAGATTAGACGCTGAGCTAAATATAGAGGATCCTAGGCCCAGAACTTTCCCAGAGACAGCAGAAACAGACTGTGGTGATGGTGATCGAGATCTTGCCGTTTCTGTCAGGCCGCCAAAGCCACTGAAGAACCTTCCTGTGCCTGAATCCGTTGGTTTTGGGGAAGAAGGCTGTGCTTTAGGACCACCTAACCCAAAACCAAGGAAACTTGACTCCTGTTTTGGAGGTTTAGTCTCAGTAGGTGGAGCAGATTTGACAGGAATAATTGTATCCTTGGTTGGTGGCTGTTGGGATTTCTCAGGCTCTGTTTTAGTATTGTCCTGCTTAGGAAGATCTTTGCTAGAGGTGATCTTATCAGTTGGCTTGGCATCACTGCTGGTCTTTTGAACTAAAATGTCTTTCTTTATTTCCTGATCAGGTGCAGCCTTCTTCTTAGTGGGAACTGCAGCTGGATTCTCATCAGGTTTGGTGTCAACTGGAGCTGGAGCTTCCTTGTCAGCTTTGGATGTAGTTTTGTCGTCTTTTAATAAAGGAACTGACTGAGGCAATGTTGAAGGACTTTTCACTCCTTGCTGTGCCCGTTGTACCTGGCAATTCAGACAGAGCCATTCCTCAACCTGCAAAAGTTATAGAATAAACCATTAAATCCTGAAGTCTAAGGTCTTATATTTATGACTAGAAACTTTGTAACTACAAAAACAGCTCATCTAGCTTATGTTAGCAAGATACAAAATATTACCACTTCATTTTGTATCATTAACATTAACTGTGTGACTGTGCTTTACTCTTATAACTTTTCAGTGAGTGAAATGCATGGAAATGGGAAACGTTAGTGAGGGTCAAACTATGTATTTGTATACTAGATAATTACACAAGTAATTTGCCTCAAGACACAAATATTACACATATGTTCTGGGAATTCCAATGGCTTGCAACATTTACAGCATTAATACAAATGGAGCCTCTTAATTAATACTTTTAAAAAACAAAAAGCAAACAGGGGACAAAAAGTCAAAGATATTCTCCACTTAAAATAATGTGAATGGTAGAAAGTAAAGTAAATGGATCTTAATCATGTTTTAGAAAGTAGTGGTCAAATATTTTACCTCATGTTGATGAGGCATTGGGTTAAATCCACACTGACTGCACACTGTCATCTTGCATTCAGTGCATGTGTTAAAATTCTTGGCATCCTTGGAATCAATGTTGAGCTTCACTTTGCATATTGGACAGTTGGTTTTGACTTCTTTAGAAGCCGATTTTTCGGGCGGTTTGGGTGATGTAACTTGTTTGATTTCTGTTTTCTTCTCTACATCTTGTGCTGCTTGTGTTTTAGTGTCTCCAACAGGTGAAACTTTACTAGAGTCTGGTGCCACTGCAGATCCTTTCCTAGATGTGGGAGCTGTTGCCTTAGTAGATGTCTGAGAAACTGTCGATCCCTTTCGAGATGTTGGGGGTGTTTTGGATGGCTCATCCTGAACAGCTGAGCTAATCAAGTTAGATGCTGAGCTAAATATAGAAGATCCCAAGCCAAGAACTTTCCCAGAGACTGCAGAAACAGACTGCGGTGAGGGTGACCTAGATCTAGCTGTTTCTGTAAGACCACCAAAGCCAAACAGTTTCCCAGTTGTTGATTCTGATGATTTAGGTGAAGCAGGTTGCATCTTAGGACTACCAAATCCAAAACCAAAGAAACTAGATTCCTGTTTTGGTGGCTCTGTCTGCACATTTGGAGTAGCCTTTTCAGGAGGCTTGTCAGACTCAGATGAGGGTACAGGTGGTCCCTTTATGTTACTCTCTGGGGGTTTTGGAGAACCTGTGACTGCTTCTTTCTTTTGGACATCCGCTGAAACAGCAGGCTTAGTTCTGTCAGAGATGGCCACAGCTTGAATCTCTTTCTTTTGTGTTCCATCCACAGAATCAGGAGCTATGGTGGTTGATGATGACCCTGGTGTTATACTTTCTGATTTTTGAGGAAGTGCTGGGGTAAAGACTTTGTCAGGTTGTTCGTGGGTTTTTATTTTAGAAGGTTCTTGTGGTTTTATTCCATTTAATGCACGCTGTGTCTGGCAGTTCAGACAAAGCCATTCATTGAACTGTAACAATAGATCAAAGAATAACCATTGAATTATTTCTTTCATTACATTAATGAAACATTGACGTAGCATTTGTTTTGTATAGAAATCACAAAAAAATACACTGGAAATTTGAGTACATTTTAATTGCCGTAGCTGCATTAAAATAGTTTTTTAGCAAAAATGTATGAAGTGTACTATAGTTGTGTTCTCTTACCTCTGTTTGATGTGGTGTTGGGTTGAATCCACAGAGGTTACAAACAATCTTCTTGCACTCAGTGCAAGTATTGTAGTTTGGAGTGACCTTAGAACCTATATTGAGATCCACTTTGCAAAGAGGACATGTTTTGGTCTCTGCTTTGGGAGCTGTGACTGCGCCTATTACAGGTTCAGGAACTGTTGTAGCCTGTTGGACCTGCTTCACATCTGTTTTGTCTGGTATAGGTGCTTTACTGGTATCACCAGTAGGTGGAATTTGTTGAGAAGTTACAGATCCTTTACGAGAAGCAGGCGATGTTGGTGTAGTCTTTAATGAGGTTTGGGACACCACGGATGCCTTGCGAGATGTTGGCGGCGTTGTATTCTTTGCAGATGTTTCTGAAGCCATGGAAGCCTTACGAGAAGTTGGTGGGGTTGTCGAGGAATCATCTTGCATGGCTGTTGATATTAGATTAGATGCAGAACTCAAAAAAGAGGATCCAAAGCCAAGAACCTTTCCTGAGACAGCAGTAACAGATGGCTGAGGGGATCCAGATCGGGCACCACCAAAACCAAAGCTAAAGAATTCCGCTTCCTCCTTTAAAGGTTCTGCTTTCTGTGATACAGCATGTTTCGTAGGAGATGGATCACTTTTTGGCATTTGGGGTACTGGTGATGATGCTTGTGTTGGTTTACTCTCTTGATTCTCTGTAGCAACCGATGCACTTTTTGTTCCAATGACATCTGTCATATTTAGTGAAGAAACAGGAATTTTAGAGGGTATAGGACTGTCCATGTCTTGTGATTTTGTTGGTTGAGATGCTTTGCTAGCCATTGGGGGTGGTTGGGCAGAGGGAAATTCTTGTGCTTTCTTTACCTGACAGTTTAAACATAGCCATTCCTTTACCTGTAAGTTAATAATAGCAATTAATATTAAAATAGGCAATGAATGATGCATGTGCAACTCACACAGCTAAAAAAAAATCAAGTATTCTTACCTTAGTTTGGTGTGGCATCGGACTAAATCCACAAAGGTTGCACACTGTGGTCTTACATCCAGTGCAAGTGTTGTAGTTTGATGGATTGCTCTTTAAGTCTACTTTACAGATTGGACAGACTTTCGAAAGCTCTGGGACTGGTGTGTTACTTTGCACATCATCAACTGGTACTTTGGGCTTCTCATCTTGTGATTTATTCTCCTCTATTTTCTTGTCATCTTTTTTCTGTACAACAGTAACCTTGGCTTCCTCCACCACTTTCCTTTTTTGCACAGCTTGAGCAGCTTCAGAACCCTTTCGAGAGGTCGGTGGTGTTGGTGCTGTCTTGATAGAACTTTGGGACACGGTAGATCCTTTACGAGAACTTGGTGGAGTTTTGCTGGATGACTCATCCTGAATGGCTGAGGATATCAGATTAGATGCTGAACTGAGGAATGAGGACCCAAAACCCAGAACTTTTCCAGACACTGCAGATTGAGGTGAAGGTGACCGAGATCGTGCACCAAAGCCAAAGAAACCAGAGTCTTCCTTATTCTGTTCAACTTTAGATGTTGGAGCAAGTTTGGAAGGAATTGTATCATCTTTAGATTTTTGAGCATATGCTGTTGGAGTAACTGTAGGTTCTTTAGCCTCAGTAAGTTTCTTGTCCTGCTCAACAGTAACAGTCTGCTTAATTTCTAGAGTTACTTTCTTTTGTGTAGATGCTAGTGGTACTTGTTGCTGAGCAGGGGGAGGTCCTGAGGCTCTCTCTACCTGGCAGGTCAAGCATAGCCATTCCTTCATCTGTTGATAAAAAAACATAAACAATTAAACATCCCTTTGTGAATTTACATGACTTAATTACAAATTGTATTTTCAAATAAATCTATAAATGTAGGTACCTCAATTTGATGTGGATTTGGATTAAATCCACAGAGATTACAAACAGATTTCTGGCATGAACTACAAGTGCTGTAGTTCTGTGGATCTTTTTTGAGTGTTTCGTTGCAAAGTGGACAGGCTTTTGAAATCTCCTCTGATGTATGTGCAGGTTTGACCAGCTGAGGATCTTGGGTTTTTGATACTGGCTTTTGATCTTGTATTGATGAAACAGCTGGCTTTGATTCTCTTTGAGGTTGTTTTTGTTTAGCATCCTGAGGAATTACAGATCCTTTTCTAGAAGTGGGTGGCGTAGGTGTGGTTTTATTTGAAACTTGGGAAACTGTAGATCCCTTGCGTGATGTTGGTGGAGTTTTGGTGGAGGACTCATCCTGAACAGCCGAAGAGATTAGATTTGACGCTGAGCTGAGGAAGGAGGACCCAAAACCAAAAACCTTATCAGAGACTGCAGCTTGAGGAGAGGGAGAGGGAGATCGAGATCGAGAACTGCCAAAACCAAAGCCAAAGAAACTGGATTCTTCTTTAACCTGTTCACCTTTAGGTGGTGGAACAGGCTTGGAAGAAGGAACATCACCTTTAGATTTTTGAGTATTTGGTGTTTTTAGTTCTTTAGTCTCTGCAAGAGGCTTCTTGTCCTGGTCAGCTGTAACACTTGGCTTTTTCTCAGGAGAAGGTGAAACCTGAGTTTTTTCCTTCAGTGGAGATGCTGGTGCAAGTGCTATATTAGATTGTGGCTCTGGTTGAGGAAGAGGAGGTCCTGAAGTTTTATGCATCTGACAAGTCAAACACAGCCACTCCTTCACCTGTAGATAATACAAAAGATCCTCAAATAGAGTCATATCTTGATTGTATTTGTATCATGTGACCATCAAATCTATAATCATTCAACTATGATTAATTTATGAACTGTGCTAATGCAACATCAAAATGTAAAACACATATACTTACATCAGTTTGATGAGGATTGGGATTAAATCCACAGAGATTACAAACAATGCTCTTGCAAGAAGTGCAAGAGCTATAGTTTTGTGGGGTTTTCTTGAGGGTCTCTTTACATAAGGGGCAGCTTTTTGGTGGCTCTTTATTCAATTCAGCTTCTAAAGGTTTGGATGGTTGAACATCTGGTGGCCCTTTCTGTTCTTGCGTTGGTGTAGACGTTGGCTTAGACTGCACTGGAGGTGGATTTAGTTTTGACTCTGGTGGAGCTACTGATCCTTTTCGAGAAGTGGGAGGTGTTGGTATGGTCTTGCTTGAAGTCTGAGAAATTGTAGAACCCTTTCGAGATGTTGGCGGAGTTTTAGATGGTTCAGCAGAGGAGATTAAGTTTGATGCTGAGTTTAGGAAGGAGGAGCCAAAGCCAAAAACTTTATCAGAGACAGCAGACACAGTGGGCTGAGGAGATTGTGATCTTGACTGAGAGCCACCAAACCCGAAGCTGAAGAAATCTGTTTCTTGTTTAGATGGTTCGGGTTTATGTGGTTGATCAGACTTGGCAGGTAAGACTTCACTTTTCTGCTTTTGGGCTTCTGATGTAGGTGGTTTCAAATCTGCTGAATTGGGTTTGATTTTGTGTTGTCCAGAAGCATCAAGTTTCTGATCTTCTGCTACAACGCCAGGAGTGTGTTGTTTTTGTGGTGAGGCAGGTGGAGGTAACTTGGTAGTTTGTGGACCGGGTTGTCCAGCTGGAGGTATGGGAGCTCTCTGGATCTGGCAGTTCAAACACAGCCATTCCTTCATCTGTGGTGTGATAGAAAAAGGGTAAAAAGTAGTTTAATATATTGAAACATTATTAATTACATGCTGTTCAGTTATAGAACTTTGTCTCACCTCAGTTTGATGTGGCAATGGGTTAAATCCACAGAGATTACACACTGTGTTCTTGCAAGTAGTACATGTGCTATAGTTTGGTGGATTCTTTATTATTTCTGCCTTACACAATGGACAAGCCTTTGGAGGCTCTGATTTGTAGACTTCTTCTTTGATAACAGCTTTTGCCTGAATTTCTTTCATCTTTCCTTCTTGTTCCTTGTCTTTCTGATTCTCTTGAACAGATTTAGCTCCCTGCTTAGGTGACAAATCAGCTGATCCTCCCTGAGTTGTAGCTTGTGTTAATGTAGTCTTCACAAGAGTTTTCGAAGGGGCTGAATCCTCTTGAGTTGCAAGGGGTGTTGTGGAGGATTCATCTTGTACAGCAGTGGACATAAGATTAGAAGCTGAACTCAGGAGGGAAGAACCAAATCCAAATACCTTACCAGAAACACTGGAAGCAGCAGGTTGGGGAGATGGCGATCTAGAGCGTCCAAAGCCAAAAAAGCCACTCTCTTCTTTAGTGGGTGCAGTTTTTGATGGAGCAGTAGATTGATTTAGTGATGGCTGTGCTATTTTTTTGATGTCCTCCTGCTGTTGCGGCTTCTGTTTAGGAGTAATTGTATTTTCCTTTGTAAACTCTGGAGTACCTGAAGATACTGCAGTCTTTTCTTTCTCACTGATAGGAACAGGAGCTGGTGTCGTTTTCTTTAGTGGTGATACCGGAGGAGCTACCTTGTTGGCCTCGGCTTGAGCTCTTTGCATCTGACAGTTTAGACAAAGCCACTCCTTTTTCTGTAATGACAATTTAGTATCAGAATGAAATTAGGGAGTTTTACGAATTTACACTTGCTCTGTGGTCATTTCATAAAGATAAGCACATGCAGTACTAGAAACAAATAAACATTTAAAAAATAAACTTGATGTTAAATATAATATATATAGGTATATTATTTTTTATATAAAATGCAGTCTACATAAAATGAGGTGCATATTTGTGCATACTATGTCAAATACACAAATCGAATATATTTTTAAAAATATGATAATATATAAGGCGCTTTATGTTCTTCAAGGTAACAAGGCTACTTACCTCTGTCTCATGAGGCATTGGGTTAAAGCCACAACGATTGCACACTGTGTTTTTGCACTCAGTGCAGGTATCAAAATTGGGAGGCTCCTTCTGCAAATCAACCTTACAGAGAGGACAGGCTTTGGGAAGTGATATTGGTGACTTTGTCCTTGTTTCTGGAAGAGCTGCATCTTTAGTAGTTGTTGGCTGTGCCTGACTGACCATGGGTTTCTCGTCTTTTCTCTTTTTTTGTATTGACTCTGGAGTACCAGTAAGTAGTGCAGCCTTTTCTTTTACAGTGGCATCTGGATCAAGTGTTTTCTTCTGTGTAGGACCAGGAGCCGATGTCAAAGAAACCCCAGAGCCCTTTCGTGAGGAAGGTGGAGTGGCAATCTTGTCTGAAGTCTGGGAAACTGATGAGCCTTTACGAGAAGGTGGAGGAGTTGTAGTCTTAGCGGAGAGTTGGGAAGCTGTTGAACCCTTTCGAGAAGCAGGGGGTGTTGTTGAAGGTTCTTCTAGAGCTGATGAGATCAGATTACTTGCTGAGCTAAACAAGGAAGAACCAAATCCTAGAACCTTTCCAGAGACAGCAGATGCTGCAGGTGGAAGTAAAGGAGACTGAGATCTACTTCTTGGATCTTCATGGAGTTCTGATGACAGAGAAGCCCCATCTTGAGCTTTTCCTTGTTCTTGTTGCTGTGAGGTAACTAAATTATTTGTTTCCTCTCCCTTTTCTGGAACTTTAGTTTTTGCCCCATCTGCATTATTAATGTTTACATCAGCTTCAGCTCCCTTTTGTGAGGTTGGAGGTGTTGTTTTAATAGATGTCTGTGAACCCTTGCGAGAGGAAGCTGGAGTGGTATTAACCTTATTAGAGATTTGTGAGACAGCAGAACCTTTTCGAGAGGTTGGTGGTGTTTTATCAGACATTTGAGAGGCTGTTGAAGCTTTGCGAGAACTAGACGGTGTTGTGGAGGACTCATCTTGAGGAGTTGTTGAGATTAGATTAGATGCTGAGCTTAAGAAAGATGAACCAAATCCTAGAACCCTCTCTGAGACAGCAGGCTGAGGAGAAGGTGATCTTGATCTAGCTCCTCCAAAACCAAACCCAAAGAATCCAACTTTATCTTGCTGTGGATCTGTTTTTTGTGATTCTGACTTTGAAACATCTGTAATATGCTGCTTTTGTGTTTCTTTCTGGGCGGGTTGTACAGTTGCTGCTGAAGTTTGTTTATAGTCTTGTTTCCCTGGTACTTGTGGTTTCTTATCCATTTGTACTGTATCTTCTGGCTTCTTTGCATGTGACTGCAGTTGCACAGGGGGAGGTTCTGGTGCTTTCTGCATCTGGCATGCCAAGCAAAGCCACATCACCTGTAGTTTAAAATGCATATTAAATTGATAATTTGGCAAGTGTGATTTACAATATGTAAAGTGAGATTTTGTAAATATTAAGGATGTTAAAATGTCATCCTTGAGATCAATGAATAAATCCACTTTAAATATTATCTTCGAAAGTTACAAGGCAACTCAAAAGGTTTATAGTACAGAGATGGAACCTAGAAATATCTCCCCTCAGTATAAATTTTATATAAACAAATACTGACAAATTTTGCATGATGGAGCCTAGTATGAAATAGTTCTTCTTTAAAGAGCATGAACTCAACATTGATATTTCCTCTTGATGAATGTCACTGTTTTTATTGTGAACCCAGGATATATGCCTTTATTCATTTTAATGTAATAAAAATGAAGCAGAACATATCTCTGCTGATGTATGGAAAGGTAATTTTCAGTCCTGTCAATAAACAACATTTTCCCTCTTTATAATTATTTTTTTGTTCAATAGTTGTTTTACTCAGAAATAAATAAACAATTGTCTTACCTCATTTTGATGGGGCATTGGGTTGAACCCACATAGGTTGCACACAATATTTTTGCATTCAGTGCAACTGTTGTATTGATCTTTCTTGAGATCCACCTTACAGAGTGGACAGACCTTGGGAAGAGGCTTGGGCGAATCCTTTGTCATCTTTAAATTATCTTTCAATTCTCTTGATGGAACATTAACCTGCTGAAGCAATTGTGTCTTCTCCTCTTTCTTCTGCTCAATTGATGGTTTAGTGTCTTTACTTGGTTGAGTTTTCTGAGACTCTTGCATGGCTACTGAAGAGCCCTTGCGGGAGCCAGGAAGTATTGTGGTTTCCGAAACTGATGAACTTTTGCGGGAAGTTGGTGGTGTTGTAGAAGGCTCATCCTGAACAGCTGATGATATCAGATTAGAGGCTGTGCTAAGAAAGGAGGAACCAAAGCCCAAAACTTTCCCAGACACAGCAGGCTGAGGTGAAGGTGACCTTGACCGAGCCCCACCAAAGCCAAAACCAAAAAATCCAGAACCCTCTTGATGAGGTTCAGTCTTTGGTGGTAGTTCAGATTGATTTTCTAGAGGCTTGTCCGATTTCATCTGCTGTTGGGTCTTAGGTTGTCTGACCTGTTGTGGTAAGTCAGCAGTGGGCTCCTTACCCCCTGCTACTGGTGATTTGTGACCAGCATTTGTGGCTTCCTTTGTGTGTTGTTTCTTCTGCAAAGATTCTGGAAGATCTTTCTCTTTCTTTGGCACTGGGGTTGTTATCTTCGCTTGATCTTTGGGCACTGATGCTCGCTGTACCTGACAGGTCAAGCAAAGCCACTCATTTGCCTGCCAAAAAAAGAGAGACAAAATGGTTTAATTTTTTCTCTTCAACTGAATTAAAATAAATAAATGAACAATATTGCTGAACTACATGTTGAACAATAATACTGTTATAACAGTGCTACTAGAAATGCTAAGTTGTCTTACCTCAGTCTGGTGGGGCATGGGATTAAACCCACAGAGGTTACATACAATGCTCTTGCATTCAGTGCAGGTGTTAAAGTTGGGAGGATCTTTCTTGAGCTCCACTTTGCAAAGTGGGCAATTTTTAACAAGAAGCTGAGAGGACTTAACAGCTGATTGAGGCTTTGATGGAGATGTAGACGGTGCTTTTAAAATTTGATCTTGCAAGGACTTTTTGTCTTCCATTAGCTTTTGAGAAAGAATTTTAGTTTCCCCAGGCTGTGTTTTTACGGAGTCCTGGGATGCTGTAGATCCCTTGCGGGATGTAGCTGCTACTGTTAGTGAATCTTTACGAGAGGTGGGTGGTGTTGTAGACTTCACAGAGCTCTGGGAAACGGTTGAACCTTTACGAGGTGTTGGTGGTGTTGTGGAGGATTCATCCTGAACTACTGAAGATATGAGATTAGATGCTGAGCTGAGAAAGGAGGAACCAAAGCCCAGTACCTTCTCTGACACAACAGGTTGAGGAGATGGTGATCGAGATCGAACACCACCAAAACCAAAACCAAAGAAACCAGTATCTGTTTTCGAGGAATCTGATTGTGTTGTAATTTCAGATTTAGCTGAAACACTGGCATCTTTTGGCTGTTGAGGTTTTATGCTCTCTTTCTGTGCAGGGGATTTTTCATTTAGAACATTTTGTGGAGGAGGCTGATGTTGAACTCTTTTATCTTGTTGTAAGCCAAGTTTAGACTGCAACTTAGGATCTAGACTTGAAGGTTCAGATGCTCTCTTTATCTGGCAACTCAAACAAAGCCACTCCTTTACCTAGATGACAAAAATCACAATCACAAATCAATTTATTACCTTTAATAACACAAGCAAGACTGCAAGAGTAAAATAAACATTATATCTTACCTCTTTTTCATGAGGCATAGGGTTAAATCCACAACGGTTACAGACAATAGTTTTGCAATCAGTGCAGCTGCTGAAGTTAGGAGGAACACTTGTAATATCTGCCTTGCAAAGTGGGCAGCTCTTGGGGAGGGGCAGGGGTGTTTTGTCCACTTTGGTAGGTAATGATTTATCAGCTGTTTTGTTCATAGAAGATTTGCTGGCTTGTTGATATGTCTCTTGTTTTTCTGCAGTTGTTTGTGTTGTGTCCCCGGTGTTTGACATCTGTGGAACAGCAGAACTCTTCCGAGAAGTGGTTGGTGTTGAGCCCTGGGAAACTGTTGAAGCTTTGCGGGAGGTTGGTGGTGTTGTAGATGTCTCATCTAGCACAGCTGTAGATATTAAATTGGATGCTGAGCTTAAAAAGGATGAGCCAAAACCAAGAACCTTCCCAGAAACAGCAGACACAGCAGGTTGAGGAGATGGAGATCTTGACCTTGCACCACCGAAACCAAAAAATCCAGATTCTTCCTTGGCAGACTTGGCAGAGACTTCAGATTTGGCTTCATGTTCTTGTTGTTGGGCCTTTTGGATTGGCAGAGCACCATTTGGAGCCTTGGATTGTTGGTCTTGTAATTTCTGAGGAGGGCCAATTTTCTTGCCTAACTTGTCTAATTCAGATGCACCTTCCTTTTGAATCAAGGGTGAAACCAATGGTTTACTGGCAGGCTGTTTTTTAGCCTGTGCTGCAGACTCCAATTTTGGAGGTCCTGGTGGTTCCATTCCTTTGAGAGCTCTTTGAGTCTGACAGTTTAAACATAGCCACTCTTTCAACTAAAAAAGAAGAAATTGGTTAACTCATGCTCACCTATTATTCAAATATTTTAGAAATTATTTGTGAGTCAGCATAAAATTACCTCTGTTTGATGGGGTGTTGGGTTGAATCCACAAAGATTACACACTGTAGTTTTGCATTCAGTACAGATCTGGTAGTTGGCAAGGTCCTTTTTGATTTCTACCTTGCAAAGTGGACAGGATTTGGGCAAGGGTTGAGGGTTTTTGTCTGCTTTTGGCATCAATAAAGAAGGTTCACCTTTTTTAGGTTGAGATATTGGTGCTTTATTATTTAGGTCAGCAGTTAACTCTATCTTTTTATCTTCTTTCTGACCAACTGATTGATTTTCATTTGACGTTGTAGACCCTTTTCGAGGCATTGGTGGAGTGTTGGTTTTGAGGGAAATTTGTGAGACTGAAGTAGCTTGGGAATTAGTTGTAGAAGGTTCATCTTGAACTGCTGATGAAATGAGATTAGATGCTGAGTTCAGAAAGGAGGAACCAAATCCCAAGACCTTACCAGACATGGCAGAAACCGCAGGCTGAGGAGATGGTGACCGTGACCGTGCTCCACCAAAGCCCAAGCCAAAAAATCCTGACTGTTCTTGTTCAGCCTCAGCCTTTGGTGATGCTTTAGAAACAGAAGGGGAGGAGGCATTTTTTACTGTCTGCTGTTGTACAGGCTTAGTGGAAGGAGCTTGCTTTGCTCCAACTGCACTAGTCTGTTGTTCATGCATCTCCTTTTTATGAGCAGCAGGTTGGTTGGCAGGACTAGCCATTGTTGGCAGAGTTGAGGACTGTTTTTCTAAAGGGCCAAGTGTAGAATCCATCTTATTAGATTTGCTGGGCTGTGTTTTGGATTTTATAGTGGGTTGTCCTGGAGGCTCTATTCCTTTCAGTGCTCTCTGTGTCTGGCAGTTTAAGCAAAGCCACTCCTTTGCCTGCAAAAAAAACCAATGGTTAATAGTAATAGTAGTCGCCTTGCCAACATCTATTAACTTATTCCACTTCTTTGAGGTATTTTAGCATACAGAAACATTCTGAACAGGATTATTTTTAGTCATATCTTAATATTACATATTTTAGTACATATTTTGTTTAGAAACATTAGAATAGTTCGAATGACTGAATGAGTGTACAAAAATGCATATTCTGCCAGAGGAACGGCTACTCATATAAACACATGCTCAGTAAACTAGAAAGATGAAATCACGGCCCTAAGACACTCTTAAATGTTTTATTATACTGAAAAGGTATATGTGTGTGTTTTAGAGGACTACATTGCAGTTACTCTGACTTTTTAAAAGGATTTCTCAGGTAAGCTACAGTAGATGGCAAATACAAACCAAAAATATTTTAGACACAATCCCCAAATGACCAGTTCAATTTGTGCAAATTTCCAAAAGTCTTGTTAACAGTACATCACAGTATTTGTGTGCATATACATATATAAAAAATTACAAAGGATTGCTTATGAAATCTAATCAAACATAGCTCACAATAGTGTCAGTGCAAGCCAGTGTTTACAAATCTGTAAATGTGCCAGCTAAAATGTTTGTTATGGAAATGTGAGCTGATTATTTGGTGCATTTGTATGATTTCTCTTTTTAAAACGTGATCCTGTATGCTTAAATAATTTCCCATCGTACTCAGAAAGAATTATCAGTTCATGCTGCATTCACAGTCATCAGACATACAGCTCACACTAAAACCTAAATTTAACCTCTGGTGAAAGACAGCAGCTATCTTATTTAAGGCTTAAGGAAATATAATATATCATTTAGATCATTTTAGAGAGGTAAAAAAAGCACACAGCTGTTTCATATTTACTAAATCTCTAGGCTTAAGGCATTTCTCAGGCTTGAATATTTTTTGATTAAACACAAACCACACACAGTTATTGCAGAATGAGTGAAGGTGACCTTCATATAGAAGACATACTCTTTCGCTATTATCTCATTTCAACAACCTGCACTTGACACTGAGCACAACTAAGTAGCAGATGCCACTGTAATCTACACCACATCTCTGTGCTTTTGAACTCCCTCAGAAAAGACTTAGATGTTATCTCAGAGGACAACAACGCGGAGGATCCTCTGCCTTCCATGTTTTCGTCACACAGCTGGTCCATGTGACCCAATAGCCTTCAAAACTCCTTGCCAGGCTGAACATAAACTCAAAACATTCAACTACAGAATCAAGAGTATTTTGTACTCAACACATCCTAAAAGGTAAAACAGCCGCTTCGGGTCAAACCTAGTTGTTTAGGGCTTTGAGATGATTACAACAAAGGCCATAAGTGCTCTCTTGGGGACATATATTATTACAGCAGATTTAGAGCTAAGACTGTGAAAATTACACATTCCTGCCCATTCCTGGATTTGTCTACTCTCTTACTAGTTTATATAAAACCTTAGAGAAACTCCTGAAATATAAAAGGCGTGATAATGACAACGCAAAAAAGCAAACTAAATAATAATTAATAATAATAATTCCTTACATTTATATAGCGCTTTTCTGGGCACTCAAAGCGCTTTACACAATGGAGGGGGAATCTCCTCATCCACCACCAGTGTGCAGCATCCACCTGGATGACGCGACGGCAGCCATTTTGCGCCAGACCGCACACCACACACCAGCTGATTGGTGGAGAGGACACAGAGTGATGATATGCCAATCATGATATGGGGAGGGTTAGGAGGCCATGATGGACAGAGGCCAGTGGGCAGATTTGGCCATTATGCCGGGGTTAAACCCCTACTCCTTTTCAAAGGACATCCTGGGATTTTTAACAACCACAAAGAGTCGGAACCTCGGTTTAACGTCTCATCCGAAAGACGGCGCTCACTGAGCAGTATAGAGTCCCCGTCACTATACTGGGGCATTAGGACCCACACAGACCACAGGTTGAGTGCCCCCTGCTGGCCTCACTAACACCACTTAGCAACCTAGCTTTCCCATGTGGTCTCCCATCCAGGTACTGAACGGGCGCAGCCCTGCTTAGCTTCAGTGGTCGACCATGTGAGAGTTGCAGAGAGCTAGCTGCCATCGTATGGATGGTTAACTTGGAAAAAAAAACTAATAAAAATTAGAAAATGTACCACATGACATCAGAAATAGAACCCCTATAAATAATAGAGTCCACTGAGTCCAGAAAACAAATACAGAATGAAATAGGGCTGCAACAACGAATCGATTAAATGCATAAACATTGATTACTAAAAGTTTTGGCAAGAAATTTCATAATCGAAATTGTTGTGTCCCTGTGACACGGGGACGTTGGAATTTTTAAAAACACTTTAGTTCAACATCAGCGGAGTGAACACGGTCTCTCGTGCACTGATAAAGAGTTCAGCGCCTTATAGACAGGGATGAGGAGGAAGGCAGTTTAACAGCAGGGTAAATCAATAAAGAATCCTACTTTTTTTCAGTTTTGAAGTGAGGACCGTAAAGTCCCTGGTGCTGGTGTTTTTACTCGTTATCCAGCTTGACAAGCATGACAAGTTAGCGTTAGCTCGCTTACCCTTAGAGCGGCAACTGAAAAATTCACATTAGCTTTGGCGCATTGACTGGCGCTGAGCCAGAGAAAGACTTGTCATATTATCACTAATATGCAGCGTTTATGTTTAAGACATGTAAATACACACAAGTACTAGTAAAACAATACATTTAGAGTTTGTAAAACACACAAGAATGTCTAACAATCTATTCAAATATAAGTTGTCGATATGTTTTATTCATATTAGATACACATAGTGAAAGTAACTATAAAGTTGAATCTACCATTCTCTAAGTTCACCAGCCACTTACTCGCATGCATTTGGTCAGTAACTGATGAATTTACTTGCTGAATCATGCGTGGTCTACTTTTATGAATGAGGCAAACGCAAGTAAACATGGTGATGCCCATCCAACGTTATAGATCCACATGGAATCACTTACACGTCTGTTTGAATTGGAATATCAGGTAGCTGGGCAAGCGCGTGGATACGTTGAATTAAAACGGAAAGAAAAACAAAATAAAAGTGTTACATCTGTCATGCAGTGCTATTGTGGCTGTTGTGTGTCACGTGACAAACATGACGCCTTGCCATGAAAACATTAAGGGTGAATGTTCTAAAATAATGATCGCCTAAAAAAAAAACTCCTGGTTCCAGATAGAATCTTTTAAACTCACCAGTAAAAGGGTTAACAACAGAAGTAAAACAGCAGTGGTATAGTTATTTTGCATTGTAAGACTAAAGACACGCTTTTATTCACTCGCCTTTTTTGGATCATTTATTTTTCGATCTGTAGCCACGTAGAGCTGCACTGCAAAAACAGCTTTTCTTTCTTAGTCAATTTTGTCTCATCTCCAGTCCAAATATCTACAAAACCTTCAATCAAGAACAGACAAGAAATATGGCAAAGGGAAATTTAGTGATGCTTAACTTCTGTTTGAGACTATATCTCATTAAGATTATTTTTCTCAACCCCTTGGCAAATAATTTAGCTTGTTTTAAGCAAACAATCACTTATGTTGAGGCGTGTTTTTTTTTTTTTTTTTCAAAAACAAGACATCATTTCTTAAGGTATTTCATGTGTCTAGTATGTACTGTATCTTGATTTAAGAATTATTAAATATATTTGGGTTGAAAACAGAACAAAAATACTTGTTTAAGTTTAAGTTTTTTTTTTATTATTATTATTATTATTATTATTATTATTATTACAGCTCAGGGATGAGCTTTTTTTAAATAAAGAGTTGGAAATTAATGCTTTTCCTGTTTGTATTTTATTTTATATTATTTCATGTGTCTAGTATGTATCTTGATTTAAGAATTCTTTAGATATTTATGTTGAAAACAGAACAAAAATACTTGATAATTTTTTTATTTTATTTTATTTTATTATTTTTATTATTATTATTATTATTATTATTATTATTTTTATAACAGCTCAGGGATGAGCTTTTTTAAATAAAGAGTTGGAAATGAATGCTTTTCTTGTTTGTTTTTTGTCCGATTAATCAAATAAATAATCGACCGATTCATTGATTATTAAAATAATCGTTAGTTGCAGCCCTAAAATTAAACCACATCTACCAACTTCTGTTGAGAAAGCAAAATAAAGTATCCACTTGGATCAAAGCAGACATCACTAAAGCCCACAAGATTATTATGAAGCTCTCTCCCCAAGCAGCCATGACATCTCGATGGCTTTGCTGTCTGTAAAGTGGCTGAAAGCAACACACTGAGTGGAAAGTTGGCAGGCAAAACAGACAAGCCAGCAACTGCCATGTTTGAGCCAGACTGATTATTAAACGTCATAATACAAATCAAAAAGCAGAGAAAGTCCATTCATTCATGAAATCTATTTATCACCCAAAACCTTAAAGGATTAGTTCACCCAAAAAATGAAAATTTTGTTAATTACTCTCCCTCATGTCGGGCCAATCCCCCAAGTCCTTTGTTCATTTTTGAAACACAAAATAAGAATAAATCTGAGAGCTCTCTGAGCCTCCACATACAACCACAGACACATTTATTAATAACAATAATAATAATTCCTTATATTTATATAGCGCTTTTCTGGACACTCAAAGTGCTTTACACATTTGTGGAAGGAATCTCCTTATCCACCTGGATGCATGATGGCAACCATATTGTGCCAAACCTCACACCCCACACCAGCTGATTGGTGGTGAGGAGACAGAGTGATGAAGCCAATTTTGATACGAGGATGGTTAGGAGGCCGTGATGGACCAATGGGCAAATTTGGCCAAGATGCCGGGGTTAAACACCTACTCTTTTTCGAAGGACATCCTGGGATTTTTAACCACCACTTAGAGTCAGGACCTTGGTTTAATGCTTCATCTGAAAGATGGCGCTTAGAGCAATATAGAGTCCAAATCAATCTACTGGGGTGTTAGGACCCACACAGACCGCAGGTTGAGCGCCCCCTGCTGGCCTCACTAACACTCTATTCATACTGGGTGCCAGCGTCCACACTCTCCCATTCACTTTGAATGGGTGACGTCAAGCATTGCCGATCTGCATTGTGCATCTGTCGGCGCGTCTTGAACTTTTGAAGCACCAACGGACACGTCAGCCAATCAGATCGCTTTATGCAGTAATGCAGTGATTTTGGACGAATTTCATTGGCTGATGTGCTATGATTATCGCGTCAGCCCCAACTTCAGACACGCCCCGTCAAGCATTGATGCTGAAGCCCCCTGTGAATCGGGAGTAAATCTGGCAGCAACCTAGCTTTCCCATCTGGTCTCCCATCAAGGTACTGACCGGGTGCAGCCCTGCTTAGCTTCTGTTGGTGACCATGTGAGAGTTGCAGAGAGCTAGCTGCCAGCTAGGTATTTAAGGTACAGAAAACTAAAACCTTGTCAACTAAAACCATGATAAAACATTCCTTTTAAAATATCATCTGTAATCATACAAAGCTCATCTGTGTGCACCAAAAAACTGTAATACAACTTTGTTCGCTGTCGTGTCACCCCCTGGGCCCACTAAACCCAATGCAAATCTTTTTTAGAACTTTAAATATATCATGACCATTTCTGTCTGCGGATGTTTTGGGAACTGTCAGCTTTAATCTAAAATATCTTAAATTGGATTCCAACATAAAGGTTTCAAGAAATAGAAATGACGTGAGGAAATTAATTACATAATTTGAATTTTTAGATGAACTAATCTTTTAATGGATCTGTGAATCACACTAATGCAAACGTAAAAAAGGATGACACATTGTGCATCTGCACATTTATGTTTTACTTTTGGTCTTGAGATTCAAGCACTTTATTTTGAAAAGTTTGGGGAGGGAGTAGTCTGAGGTAATTTAGAATCAAAGCACATTTTGTCTCTCTCACAGCCATTTTCAGGCTGCCTTCCACAAGACTGCCTCCACACAAACCAAAGAGACTAGAAAATACATCCATCTTTTACAACAGAATCACTGAAATCACAAAGAACATGTCCTTTGAAATTGCTCTTGACATTTTCCTCACACAGTTCATTGCACAAACCATAATGTGAGCCAACTGCAAAACATAAATTCATCTGTTTCTTACCTCCGTCTGATGAGGCACAGGATTAAATCCACACTGATTACACACAATGGTCTTGCATTCAGTGCAGGTACTATAGTTAAGAGGATCTTTTCTTAGGAGTGCCTTGCAGAGTGGACAGGATTTGGGAGGAAGTTTTGGGCTTTGATCCACTTTAGTAGCCTGAGCAGATGGGGATTCCGTAATTGTTGTTGGTTTTTGAGTGTCTTGAGGTTTATTTTGTTGTTGTTGTGTTTTTCCCTCTTGCATCAGTGACTTGGAAAGATTGGGGGATCCCTTAGAGGCCTCTGAGCCTTTTCTTGATGAAGGGGGTGTTGTGATCTTGGCAGAGGTTTGGGAAATGGTAGATCCCTTTCGAGAGGTCGGGGGTGTGGTTGAGTTTTCATCTTGGGTAGCTGAAATCAGGTTTGATGCAGAGCTAAGGAATGAAGAACCAAATCCTAAAACCTTCCCAGAAACAGAAGAGGCACCAGGCTGTGGAGAAGGAGAGCGGGATCGAGTGCCACCAAAACCGAAACCAAAGAAACTGGACTCTTCTTCTTTTTTAGGAGGATCAGTCTTTGATGGTGGCTCACTTTTGGCAGGAGGAGCACCTTGTGTTGTTTGCTTTGTAGGAGGTTTTTGTTGTGTTGTTTGCTGCGATGTATGAGCTGCACTTGTGCTGGACTGGCTTGATTGTTTCTGACTTTGTGTTGGTTTTGTTGGCGGACTGGCAGATGGAGGCATCTGCTTACTGTGAGGTGTGTCTTTCTTTGCAAGGTTCTGTGATGGTACATTGTCCTTGGGCTGTGATTGGGCTTTTAGTGTAGGAGGTCCACTGCTCTCTGCCCCTCCCAGAGCTCTCTGCATCTGGCAATTCAGGCAAAGCCACTCCTTAGCCTGTGAATATAGAAAATACAAATTTCTGTTATCCAGTTGCAAATTTTTAATTTGACATACATTAAATTCAACACAGTTGTTTTGGTGATCGATCAGACTGCTAATGTTTCTCAAAGAATGACAGATACGTCTATTTTCAGTAGAACATTTGCAAACTTAAAGAATGATGAGTTAGCAATTTGTACTCACAGTTGCATCTGGAGGACTAAACCCACACATGTTGCAGACCTCTGATTTACATTGTGTGCAGGTATTATGGTTGAGTGAATCCTTGGATTTAAGATTGAGTTCTGTGTTTTTACAGACTGGACAGAGGGTTTTAACCCCAGCTCCAGATCCACTTTTCTCCTGAGGCTCTGTTGAAGGAGGCCTTGACCCAGGTCCTCTTGGTCCACCCTTCCCAACACCGTGCTTAGGAGATTCACCCCCACCTGTTCCATGTTGCAATCCACCCCTACCCGCTCCCTGCTGGGAAAGACCTCCTCTACCAGCCCCTTGCAGTACAGGAGAGCCACCCCGTCCAGCTGCTTGAGGTTGGAATCCACCCCGTCCAGCTCCTTGAGGTTGAGATCCACCCCGTCCAGCTCCTTGAGGTTGGGATCCACCCCGTCCAGCTCCTTGTGGATGGGATCCACCTCGTCCAGCTCCTTGTGGTTGGGATCCACCCTGTCCAGCTGCTTGTGGTTGAGATCCACCCCTTCCAGCTCCTTGTGGTTGAGAGCCTCCCCGTCCAACTCCTTGGCCTCCCCTTCCCATACCCTGTGGCTGAGGTCCACTTTGTCTCTGAGGTCCCTGCGAGGCTGGTTGGCCGTTCCCCTGCTGTTGGTGATCCTTCTGCTTTGAGGATCCTGGAGGCTGCTGTTGTTGTTTTTCCTCACTGGTCTCATCCCCAAAAAGACCAAACTTGTTCACAGCAGAGGACATTGCACTTAGAGGATTCCCCCCGCTCAGAAAGTTGGAGGAAAACATGTTGGCTGTGGGGAATAGGGCACTGGTGTAGGAGAAGACTGGGATGGGGAGCCCAGAGGTGGGTTTCTCTCACCAGTTGAAGTTATCCCTCACATCTACCTCCAGTGTCCCTTAGAAAATAGAAAATTGAATGTGCATAAATTCAACAGCGAGTAACACCATATGTATGATAACATGAATATTTACTGACTTCATAAACAAAAACATTTATTGAGTTACAATTGTATATTTCTTTTTATATTTGCCTAAAGCAAAACTGGATAAAACGAAGATAATACTTTGAAATATTTATTTTCAGACATGCTCTATTTAAGTGAACTTCAAAGAGTGTGAAATCCTAAATGCAAGAACATGAATAACAGAATAAACAAAAGAAGTAATCTTTGCATTAAGAAAAATGGTTGTCATAGCAGTGTTTGTGGATGGGAGAATTCGTCAGCTTGGAATTATAAGGTTCTATCAGCGTTTGAATGATTTTGAGATATTGAGCTTCAAAGTATATAGCAAACAGTATATGTGTAACATTTGTTTTTTAAATAAAAAATCTTAAAATGTAAACAACTTATAAAAAACATCCCATGATGTAAATAAGTTGTAATTTAGTAAGAATATGTCACTAACTCAATTTTGACAAAAACTACAGATAGTCTTATAATTCTAAGGTGATGAATTGTCATTTACCCATGACCTGCAGTAAGCACATCCATTATAAATAAAATAAATGGACCATATCATTAGCCCTCACAGTACATTTGCTCTTGCAGTGACATGCTATGCCTCAAATAAAATGGTTTATTAGAGTCAACTATTTTAATTATACATGCAATAAAAAACAGTAATTCTATTAAATATTATTTCATTTTTGCAGAACAATTTTGTAAGTGAATGCAATGTATTCCTGTTTCAAAGCTGATTTTTCAGAAATAATTAGCCCAGTCAAATGATCCTTTAGAAATCAATCTAATGATCCTTCAGAAGACTCTTAAAATTGTTAACAATACTGAAACAGTTGTGTCTTTTTATCATGTGAGAAAACCATGACAAAATACTAAATATAACATTCTTAAAGAAACAAATACACGCACATATAGCTAATTTTAAGAAAATGTGGTTATTGTAAACTTCAAATATACATATTAGAAAGATTTATTAAAGATCATGTCATGCTGAAGACTTAAGCAATGATGCTGAATATCAGATTTAAATCACATGAATGACAGTTGCAAGATATTCAGAAAGAAAACAGCTAGTTTAAATGCTTGTTTATTTGGAAAAGTGTACTGTTTTCATTATTACTGCTTTCTTAGCAAATTAATAGAGCACTGGTGAGCAGAAGAGTATTTTAAGAGCAACCAATTTAAATGGTTTTAACTTTTGACTTAATATTACCACTAAATTGTTCCAAACAACATATTTATGGGATGCATAAAATATTACATAATTGCTATGTTCCAAAACATGAACAGGATTTTTGAAATGTCGATGTTCATGATATCTGATAACTACCTACTGTATAACAATTGACAATCCTAGTGACAATTTACCAATCCTACACACCTGTTGTTCACTCACATGTAACACATCTTAAAAATCTAGCATGAATGGCGATGATTTTGCGAGAAAAGCATGACTGCATTTCCCTGTAATTGACTGAGTGTTTGGACGTTTCCCTTCAGCACCTTGGACAGCGCTCTATATCCTGCATCACGTCTCTCTGCCTTTCAGCGTGAAATACAACACGCCATACCATTCACAGCAGTAACTCTATGCGGACACATTTATGACGAAGAACTGTAATGTGAGTTTTCCGTGCGTTTGTTTTTATTTATTTCTTTATTTTATTATTTATTTAATCAAGTGTTTTTAATAGTAGCATGCGCTGTCATTATAGTAGAAACACTGTATAATTAACACGGTCTCAACATCAACGTGTTCTTCTGGCGATTTTCCAGCTTTGCTCCTTAAAAAAACATCTATATTGCCCATCTACAGAAATACTCCATCACATATATCAACCTCCTTTGCATATGTAAAAAATATATATAAAAAATGAGGTTTTAAAATCTTAATTTAATGTTTCTCTATTAAAATGTTAGACCGTATTAGTTACAACTCGAAGGCTATGTTTTGCTGACCAAAGGACGTTGTAGTATTATAAGCTGGTTATTCGATACGAGGTTGTAGATGATCAATCCCTGACAGTCACGATCTGCAGCAATCACAATCATCTCCCCACATAACATACATCCAGTCAGAAAATCCAACGGTAAATGGTGAGAAATAGAGGATTTCCTCGCTGTCCTGGTCATGATGCATTCGCCCTTGATCAAACCCTGTCGGAGGATTTCCCATCCTCATCACTAACACCGCATCCGTCCATGCTGTACGAGAGCATCAAGAAGCCGAAAGCATTTCCAGACTCAAAGTATGCCTTTACAACCACACACACCAAAATCATCCAAGGAAAAACGTGTTAATTTTCATCCAAAAGAGGTACAAACAGCGTCATACCTTACAGCGCGCGAGCATTTCTGTTTATTCCCCCATTGCTGTCTCTAGTGTTGTTTGGTGATCGGCTGTTCGGCGTCTAGGATGGAGGTTACGAGCATCTGAGGGCATACCCGCTTCCACAATCTCCCCGTCTGCGCATGCGCCGCACAAAACAGGTGATCAGAATACATCACCTCGTGAAAATTGAATTTAAAGAGACATAATAGGACAAGCTGTCCGCTATTAATCGGCTTCTGATTGTTTAAACTTATGTAAAACGTTGGTTGTGCAAAATCACTTATATTATTATTATATAGGCACATATATTATTATGTATTACAGTTGAAATCAGAATTATTAGCCCCCTATTGATTTTTTTCACATTTATTTTGTTCCTTTTTAATTATTTCCCAAATAATGTTTAACAGAGCAAGGAAATTTTCACAGTATGTCTGATAATATTCTTTTTCTGCTGGAGAAAGTCTAATTTGTTTTATTTCGGCTAGAATAAAAGCAGTTTTTAAGTTTTAAAAAACATTTTACGGTCAAAATATTTGGCCCCTTTAAACTAGCCAATATAATTTTGATAGCCTACAGAACAAACCATCATTATACAATAACTCGCCTAATTACCCCAACCTGCCTAGTTAACCTAATTACCCTAGTTAAGCCTTTAAATGTCACTTTAAGCTGTATAGAAGTGTCTTGAAAAAATATCTAGTCAAATATTATTTATTGTCATCATGGCAAAAATAAAATAAATCAGTTATTAGAAATGAGTTATTAAAATTATTATGTTTAGAAATTTGTTGAAAAAAATTTCTCAGTTAAAAAGAAATTTGGGAAAAATAAGCAGGGGGCTAATTTTTTTTTGGGGGGGGGGGGTAATTTTGACTTCAACTGTATATAGGTATTATTATATAGGCACAGATATAAAAAAAAAATAAACAATAGAATCAGAATATTCTTTCACACTAAAAACGTAAAACTTGGAAAAAAAAGTTAATGAGGTAATTTACAACACACATTAAATTATATATATATATATATATATATATATAAATCTTTTGAACAAATATAATGTTTTATTAACTAAGTTTATACACTGATTTGAATAACACTACAAATAAAAAGACAAAAGGCGCTATGCAAATATGTGCACAGTGACAAAAAAAAAACTAAACAAAAAAATGTGCTTGAATAAATATACTATATTACCCCAACCCTCTACTGCACGCATTATGATAGATCTATATAACAAAACAGTTCACTATTTTCCTTTTCATAGAATGGCTTAGCTTCTAGTGCTGTAAAATAATAATAATAATAAAATAATAATAATAATAATAATACAAAATTGGTACTTTATGATATGCTGCCATACAGTATAGCTACAACGTCCAACAGTGGATCAAACTTAGAAATTTCAAATGTAGACCTTTCCTTACAATTAATATTTTGTTGTTTGAAATTATTTAATTGGTGTTGCAGTATTATAAGCTTTAACACAGAACGTATGAATGACACACATACTTTCCAACAACAGCTATCCCAACAGCTTTGGTCTATTCCATTCTTTTTTGCTGAATATTATTGAATTATAATAATTATGATTATTGTATTATCATGTATACATGTATACAGTAGGTGTAAATATTTCCTCCAGTAAATATTATAACAAATCTAATATATTCAAATGCATCAGAATAATGTAGCTACCAGCAAACAATGCATATATATTATACTACATACTATACTATTACACCTGTCTTGGGTTTCAGTGACCATGAGAATGATGCAGATTGGGCATTTGAACAGAGCAGTCATGGAGATAGTTCTGACATGAGTTGATCCTTTGTTTTTACTGACGTTTTCATTTGCATTCAGCAACTAATCACAATATACGCCAGTCTGTCAGAAATCGCGCCACAGAAAAATACTGTATGTCATGTGACTTAACCAAAGCACATCATTGGCTAAACTAAGGTCTTCTCTTTCCAACAAAAAAAATATATATAAAAAATTAGAGCGTTGGTCTTAAAGAAACAGTGGCTGGGAAATGAACATATCATGTTGACATATGGCAACACCATGCGCTAGAGGGCTAATGCCACAGTGTACACAAAAGAGTATTAAATAACACCATCAAGCAATAAAAACAATAACAATAATATTAACAATTTAGCTTGAATGGATGCACTGGATTCATGCTGCTGCAACATCTGGTTTATGTACTGTATGCTAATTTACAAGGTCAAATAAATTCTGTGTAAATGCTGAGCCTGTGGCAATGACCTAAAACGGTTCACCCTCAAATCCACAGTAAACACTGATACGGTTTGACAATTCCTTCTCTCTGTGTCTCCTCCACTTTCTCTTCATGTCTGTAAACACTCACTCACATGCGGCATTATTCCATTCTCAGGCAGTGAGAAAAGCATGTTTTTCTCTGTCTGCATTTATGGGTTCTTTCTTTGCCTGGCAGGATCAGATATGGTCCTGAGAGAATCTAATGTGCTCCACTCTACTGCTAATGGTCAATCCATAAAAGAGCATCAGTGCCGCCATGCCAGCACCATTACCTGAGTCGTGCTGGCCCATTTCTCTTAAGAATGGAGCT